TTTTTTTTTGTTTATTTCATATGAATCATTTTGTTTTTTTACGGTAATTTGAAATTTCAACAGGCGGATCCTAAAGAAATAATAAGTGTACAAATGGGAAAGAGGTATCTCTTTGTAATCATTAATTTTCCCAGCAACATTTTTTTAGATCAGATTAGATTTATTAGTTTCAACACAAAAGTCATTGGATTTTTATACATGGATTTAATTCTCAAATATTACTTTTATGCAATCATTCGTTATAAATTGCTTAACTTGCTACCTTTACTTCACTTTAACAATCGTAATTGTTAGAATTGGAAGAGTGAGTAATTAACATTAGTTATTAGTTAAGTTGTTGAAATTTAATTACTAATTACTTTGATTTAAGGTACGAATTGAAGATGATATAGTAATCTGGTCCCATGGCAATGAGCGTATGAGTAATGTACCACGAACTGTGGATGAAATCGAACAGTTCATGTCCAGTTCATGTTCGGAAGGTAAATAAGCAGTTATTGATCAAACTGAACAAATCAAATTTCACTCAAATAATCCGAATGATTAAATGAGTAACTGGTTCAAAGAAAACTTAAATTCACTATTATAACTTTATATATTTGAATGCATAGCATAACCTACATTAACAAAATCGTTGACAACTAAAAAAAGACATACCATACATCTTCAAGCTATATTTCACGAATATTCTAGTTTTTCCCTGTTAAAAAATGAGAAACTGAATTTATCCTACGAAAAGAAGAAAAGGAAATTTCTCATTGAAAAAACCAGATTTTGAAAAAAGAAAATAAGATTACAGAAATTAATGAGAAAAAAGTAAGATCGCTTATATGAATTGAAATACTGAAGTGATGATAATCGGATTTAGTTTTTATCCTTATTGTAAAAAGTTTAACTGTTGCCTCACTTTTGTCACTTGATATCAATTTTTATCATTTAACGCATGTATCACTTAACACTTAATGCCTGTTTTATTATTTACTAATGTTATTACTATCAATTTACCAATCATAGATGCAATCAGTTTCCACTTTATCAATTAAATTGTCACTATTGAAAGTTTAACTTTTGTTACTTAAAACTAAGACATTGTTGCTACTATTTCTAAGTTACTGTTGTTATTTCCAAAATTTGCATTACCTTTTAGTTATTAGTACTTGTTGTTTAATTATGTTGTTTATTTTATAACTTTATCGAAAATTCTTTATTCTTATAAGAACAATTCTCATTCCTTATTCAATTCACTGTAACATGCAATAACTGTGAATTATTGTCATCGTAATAATTGTTATAAAATGATAAAAATAACAACAGCAAACTGATAGGAGAAAAAAGACATAAAGTAACTATGAGTTATTGTCATCACCATAACTACTGCAAGCTGATATCATGCATAATATCACACTGTATTAATGAGCTCATTAATGAACTGTAGACGGTCGATCAGTTAATTGAAACCTTCGTTCACATCTTTATTTTCGTGTTATTTATTGAAAATAAGTTTCTGGAAATTAATGATTCGCGAAATTTAAGTGCTTAAAAGTTTTCTTCTATCTCTAATTTATGTAAGTATTTCACATATATTATGTGGAAGTTCTCTTTACACAAATGATACTTGCGCATTGTCTCTGCGCCTGTGTCACATTTTTATATATTCAACTATATATGAACAGCCAAAGTGAAAGGAAGTGAAATATTCGGTTGAATTGATATTTGAGACCGGAAATTTCGCATTTAATGGTGCAGTATTGTTGTTGATGCAGTTTGAAGTAATCGATCGGATGGGAGCATTGTAATGTTTGACTCTTTAAGGAGAGTCATTAATTAATTGATTAAGTACTGAGAACCAAATTTCTCAATCAAGTTATTTCGTGTAACTAACATGTCTAACAATGTTTGTGCGAGGATGAACATGATACAATACATTTTCGTAATAAACTTACAGAAATAAATCTCCCAAATTACTTATCATGTATGTACGAACAGTTCAGAATTTCGGATAAAAGGAAATGACCCGGTCACTTCCTTCATTCCTATTTTCATATTATCCGGTTTCAGAATGCCTAAATGAAAGCTTTAAACACTGCTGGAATATTTTCACGTAAATCGATTCTACTCTATCTGCATTATTATTATTCAATGTCATTTAACGACCTCTACATTCGATTTTTGACTCAGTCTTACGAATAGATGTAAACATATTCTTTACATGCTGGATTATTTGGCATACATTCTGCAAAATAAGTACTATGTAATTAATCATTTGATAAAGTATTAACCATTTGAATAGCACAAATTATGAGCTAAAATAGCCGGATATGTATCGTTTTTCTTCTTCCGATTATAATTATCATTTCCTGAAGCTTTCACTTCTCAAATCATCATAAACATCACAACAACATTGTCAATTCTTTTATTCTTTCATATATTTTGTCGTTATTTATTCACTTATTAATTCATTTATTTATTTGTGTCTGCTCATTTATATTTACTAATCAAGACAATAATTATTAGAATATTATCGTATTAATTTAGAAAAAAAAGTGATACTATGAAATTAAAATCCAAAAACTCATCACTCTATGCTTATTAATATTCCTTAGGATCATTTTTATTTTTCTATCTCATAAATTATGCTAATTAAGGATAAAAAATTTTAAGATGAAATAATCCTTCAAACGAAAAAGACAATCCAAAAAATGAAAAACTAATTTCTTTTCTTTCCAAATTTAAATTATAAGAAAAAGTCAAAATTATAACAAGACCATAGCATAATAATAATTATTTGCAATATATCTTTTAAATATCTCATATTAAACCAAATTTTCTCTGTGAATTATTTCATTTATTGCTTAACGAATAGTTTTATAATTAATAAAAAGTGAATAAATGAATGATGATGACGATGTCTTATATAATGAGATGAATTTAGATCTAAAAAGAACGATGCAAAACTTGGCACAAGCTAGTACTAGGCTCAATAGGCTATTATTGTTTATTATTATTATTATTATTATTATTGTTATTATTGTTATTATTATTATTATTATTATTATTATTATTATTATTATTATTATTATTATTATTATTATTATTATTATTATTATTATTATTATTATTATTATTATTATTATTATTATTATTATTATTATTATTATTATTATTATTATTATTATTATTATTATTATTATTATTATTATTATTATTATTATTATTATTATTATTATTATTATTATTATTATTATTATTATTATTATTATTATTATTATTATTATTATTATTATTATTATTATTATTATTATTATTATTATTATTATTATTATTATTATTATTAATTATTATTATTATCATTATCATTATCGTTAATATTAACATTATTATTACTAATTACTATTATTATTAATTATTATTGTCAACCATTTATTTATTCATTATTATTATCATTATTGTTATCGTTATTATTATTACTATTATTATCATCATAACTATTACTTATTATCATTAATTAATTAATTAGTCACTAATTATT